GTCCAGGGTTTTTTTGTTGGTTTTGTTTGGGTTGTTTTTTTTAAATGTTTAATTCACAATTAACAAATACACAAATTTTTATTGGTGGTTGTTTTTAAAAGCAAGATATGGGTGGGGCAAAGGGCAGGGCTTGTTCTCACTTCCAGTTAGCCTGGGCAGTGCCAATCATGTGCTCATTCACCTTGCTGGGGAACCGCAGGGAATTGAGGGATTCCCCAAAATTGTCCTCCAGGGGGAAATGGTCACTAACATCAACACCTTGGCATTGCCAATCACGCACTCATTCACCTTGCTGGCAAAGTGCAGGGAATTGAGGGATTCCCCAAAATTCTCCTCCGGGGGGGAAATGGTCACTAACATCAACACCTTGGTGTTGCTGTGGGAGACAGTGTCAAAGGCCTTGCTGAAGTCCAGGATTTTTTTGGGGTGTGTGTTTTTTTGGTTTTTATTTTTAAATGTTTAATTCGCTGAGCATACACAAATTTTTATTGGTGGTTGTTTTTAAAAGCAAGATATGGGCGGGGTGAAGGGCAGGGCTTGTTCTCACTTCCAGTTGGCCTGGGCAGTGCCAATCATGTGCTCATTCACCTTGCTGGGGAACCGCAGGGAATTGAGGGATTGCCCAAAATTCTCCTCCAGGGGGGAAATGGTCACTAACATCAACACCTTGGCGTTGCCACTGAGGCAGTTCTGGAGCAGGAAGGCGAGTTTGCTGTTCCTGTAGGGAATGTGCTGCTCCTTGCTGACCAGCCCGAGGGCGCTGAGGCTGGAATTGATGGATTGGGTTTCCCGGAGCCGATTCCAGATGATCAAAATGTCTGATTTTTTTTTTTTTTTCCAATCCTTTGCTGTCCTTTGTGGGACAAACCAAAGATGGAGGAAGGTCTGGTGCTGATTAACCTAAACTTAAGCATTTTAGTCTGAATTTAATGCCGTTGGAATTCGAGTAGTTAGGCTGTAGGGCTGTTTATCCCTGGAGGTACCCATTGAAAAGTTCACTGCCATTGTTAGAAACAAAATTATTAACTCTGCTTCTGTTCTTCTGAGCACGTTTACTTTATTAAAAGACGGTGACTTTTGCTGCTGCAGCGAAGTAATCAGTGGAAAAATTGAATTAAACAATTTAAAAGGACTGTCTTCCACCAGCCTTCTGATACTGAGAAACTGTGGTAGGGGTAGTGGTTGGCATTTATAGCTCTCCTTGTGCTTACTGTTTTAAAAGGCTCACAAACTGACTTTTCTGCACTTAATTCAACCACTTTAAAAATCCAAATTTGTATTGTAATGCAATAATTCGAGGTCAGTTATATCTTACTGATAAAATCCACGTAAGTTTTCACAGCACGGTGATCTTTTTGAGGCCTCTACCTGTGTGTGGCAAGCTCAGTCCAAGTTGTAAAAATTGTCTGGATTTCAGTTGCTTCTTGAAATCTGTGTCAGTTCAAAATCCAAGAAAGAAAATCAGCTAATAAAGCTTTTAAAGAAATTAAAGCCTAATTTCAAAGGCTCAAGTGTTTTGAGGCTTTGAAAAGTTTGTTTTGAAGGACAGTTTGTTTTTTTTTTTTACTAATGTAAGAACAGCTGTTAAAAACTGAAGGCTAGTGCTATAATAGCTGATCTAAATATTGCAGACATATGGGACACTTGTTAATATTTTGACTGCTATTTGAATTAAATAGGTTTACTTACAGCCCGAGATAGGATTTTAATTTTGTTGCTTGTTGTAGTAGCCAGAGTATATTTTCCTAGTCACTTGCTCTTTATAATAAAATTCCATTTGCACATATGGTTTGATAGACAAAACGAGGGAGATGTCCTGAATTAAGGCTAAAATCCAAAAAATGCAAAAGAATTAAAGATGGTTAAACTTCAAAACTTAAAATATTCCTTTCGAAAGGGAATATTGAAGGGAATATTTTGAGGAGGGGCAACGTGAGGCTTTCAGAATGTCGTGTACCACAGGAGCTGTTTAAAGGGTGGCTCAAATGAGTGTTTGGGTTTGCACTTGGAAGCTTGAATTCCTCCCCAGTCGCTTCGCTTTGTTTCCTCCCAGCTGGTTCCCAGCAAATCCCTGCTCAGACCGTTGTCTCCTGTCTTTCTCCTTGGCTGTGGATTCCTGACTTCCCAGGGTTCAGGATATAAGGGCTTCCCAGCTCCTTAGATTCCCTGACTCCCAGGGCAGCAGGCTGGGCACCCTCTGGCAGTGCCAGTTCTGGCCATCCCATGTAGGGAATGCCCCTGGAGCTTGGCCTCCAAGCCAGGCCCTTGGGAATACCGAATATCCTGGTTGGTGTCAGGGGGAACTGACTCACTTCTCAAAAACGCTTGGCTTTGTTTCCTCCCAGCATCTTCATTTTGTTTTTATTTGGGGAACAGACACATCAAAACACTTCAAGGTTTTGGGGAGAGGGAGAGAAGGAGCAAACTGGGATGTCAGTTTTGCCATCAGGGACAGCCTGTGTTGTCCTATGGATTTCCCTTTCCCTTCCATCAGCCTGTGTTAATTTATCCCTTGCTGCTGCAGCTTGGAGAAGGGAGCATTTATTTAAATAGATAAGTAAATATGTCTAGATTTTTCCAGCCTTTTGGAACTGGCACTTGGCAAGTTAAGTGTGTTCCTGTGAGTTTTTAAATCACTGTAGCACTACTTTCCCTCTTGCTTTCTTTGAATTTCTTCACCTGGGATAGTTTTTCACAGGATTTTGCACTGGGTGTGTTGTTGGTGGTGAAGCTGTCCCAATAAAGTCTTTCCAGAGTTGCTGTTCAGTACATAGTAAGATTCTGTGTATCTTGCTTGTAACCATTTATTCCTTCCCTTTGTGTTTGGAAGCAGTTCTACTACGTTTATATTTGCGGTTTCCAAGACATTAAACTGAACACAGAACTTTATCTGTTTCCAATGAATACAATTCAAGTTCAGACTTCTAAAGCTGACCTGTGTTGTGTTGGTGTAGTAACCCCTCAGAGTGACTAATTTGAAATAAATTTGGATTATCTGACACTTGCTACTCTGATACCAGTCTCTTAGTCCAATTAAAATGGTGTGAGTGGCACTTCAGATGAAGGAATTTGTCCCTGCCTGGCAAACACAAAGCAATAATAAGGGGGAATAACTGATTACTTTATTTTAACTTTTTTTGGAGGGGAGTTTGTCACTTTTGAGGGGGTTATGTAATGCTTAAATTTATTATGGAAGTTGCAACAGGAGGGTGGAAGCCCAACACCACTGAAATTATTGGCAAGGCAGATTCTGGCTCCACCTAAAGATGGAACAACACTGTGTCATCTGGTTCGTTGCATAAAGATAAGTGGAATGAAAATTAAAAAAAAATTGCTTAGTATGCAGAACATACTTGTAGCTAAAAAGCCTC